ATAATTATTTTTATATAATTTATTATTTTATAAATATTATTTAAATAATAATATTTTTATTATTTATTAATATTTAAATATCATTTTACTAATATTTTATTATTTTTATTATAATAATATTATTAATTTTATTTATAATAATTTATAAATTTTATTATTTATAAGTTTTAATTATAAATATTAATAATAATAAATAAGTATAATTAATATTTATATATAAAATATAATTAATTAAAATATTAATAAAATACTAAAATAATTTATAATAAAATTTATATTATAATAATAATAATATTTAATTTAAAAATTATATTTTAAACTTTTATAAAATTTTAATCTTATAATTTAAAATTATATTTAATAAAAATTATATTTTTTAAATTTATATATTTCTTATAAAAAGTATTAATATAAAAATATTTAAATAATTAATTAATTAAATTTTACTTTTTATTATAAATAATTTAGTTTTATTTTTAATTTTATTTATTATTTAAATTATAAATAAATTTATTTTTTAAAATAATTATATAATATTTATTATAATAATATTAAGTTAATTTTAATATATATAATAATTACTAAAAATAATATAATAAAGACTATAATATAATTAATTCTTTTTAATTATTATTAATAATTATATATTAATAATAATATATAAAAATTATTATTATTTAAAGAAATATTTTAATAAAATAATTTTTTAAATATTAAAACTATTATAAATTTATATTTAAACTTTTCTTGTAAATTTTTTAATTTTTTAGTTTAAATTTCATAAATTTTTGAAAATTTATAAATTAATTTCTAAAATTTTTAAGTATTTTAATAAATTAAATATATTTACTTTATATTTTATAATTTATTTAATAATTTATTTTTATAAAACTTGAATATTTATAATTATTTTAATTAAAAATATAATTAATAGAAGATATTGTAATTAATTAAAGATATCCTAATATTTAGTTATCAGAATTATATAAAATATCTTATTTGATTTATTTAAATATGATGAATTAAATAATAATATTTTTATATGATTCTATTCACTATAATATATATTTTTAATATTAATCACAATACTTTCTTTTTGATCACAATATCTTTTTTATCTTATAATTTGGATAAAATGATTAATAAAATATTTTAATCTATATTAAAATATATAATTCATTTCAAAGTGTACTTTATTAATAATTCTAAATTTGTAATTATATATTTTAATTTGAATTATCTAGATAATATTTTCATAATTCTTTATTTTATAATTTTATAATTATATTTTGACTTTATTTTATATAAAATATTTATCAAGTTAATTTTTTTATTTATTTATATTTATATAGCAATATTATTACGATAATTAATTCTTAAAAGTATTATATCATTCGATTTTAAAATGATTTTTTAGCAAATCTGATCCCCCGGAAAATTGGTTATATAAAAGTATTATAAATATAAAATAAATTAGATATATTAAATTAGTCTAACTATTATAACTCTATTATAATGATTAATAATATTTATAATATTTATAATATTTCATAATATATTTATTATATTTTTAATTAATAAATTTAATTGCATTGCTTTTAATTAATATTATAAGTAATATTTATATAATTTAATATAACAGAAAGCAATACAGATAATCATAAGTATGCAAACTGGAATTTCTTTTATTATATTGACATTGTATTTTAAAAATATTATTTATATAAAATAATTTGCATTAACTATATAAAAAGATGAAAGTGGTTTGAATTCTTCAAGAAAAGAGCTGGATTATTTAATGACCCAAGAAAATCATCTAATTTTTTAGTTCATAAGAGATTTGATTATTAAATGAAAATGAAAGGCACATATTAAATGAAAATGAAAATCCTTTCCGATTTATAACAATAACGATAATGATAGTAAATCGGACAAAATGTTCCGCTCAAACTGTCTGGCGCTAATTTATCGAGAAATATAATAACTTTTAGGAACTGTAATTCTATATGTTATTATAGCTATAGTATTGTTGATTATTGAAACGAAAGCAAAAATTTTTTGTTCGGACTGTCAATTTAGATTCTTTAAAGTCGATATGCTAATGACGTTGCCCATTTTAAGACACCCCAAATTTCTCCTAGGCGCAGTAATATGTGGCTCAAAAAACTCCAAACACATGACTTTTTCGCATTCTTATTGGTTATTGGGAAAAATTATAGGTTGCTAGCCACACTAGATCACATGCCCGAGCCACATATTTTTTGCGCCTCGGAGAAATTTGGGGGGGGGGGGGTCACTGTGTGAGTTTTTAAGACAATCTACATATTTCATATTTCATACATGAATCATCTAAAAAAATTGGTTGTTATTTTTTCTCATTCTACACTCAACAAGAACAAACACACGAATTACTCATTCTTGAAAGTAGATAAAGAATGTCGGCGTACAGGCCGTTGAATGTAAAGGATGCCTTAACCTATCTCGACCAAGTTAAAGTACAGTTCTCTGACCAACCAGAAGTTTACAACCGATTCCTGGATATTATGAAAGACTTTAAAAGCCAAACTATAGATACACCTGGCGTGATAGACAGAGTTTCGTCACTCTTTAAAGGCCACCCTTCACTCATTCAAGGGTTCAATACATTTTTACCGCCTGGTTATCACATTGAATGCTCTAACAATCCTCACGAGCCCAATACAATTCGTGTTACAACTCCATCTGGAATAACTAGCACATCGACAGAAGGAACTACAGTCGACGGAACAACTACCACTACAACACATCTTGTGGCAACAAACCCCTCTCAAATGTCTACAAATAATCAAGCAACAGCAGCATTCTATCCACCTTCTACCACATACCCACCCACTTCTGCATTGATGCCAGCCCTTCAAACGATCCCGCAGAATTCTCAATTGAATCAGCAGACTGTTTCTCATTATTTACCCGCACCGCCACAAGCATTAGGTCATAATGTAGCTAGCACACCTCCAAATCAAGTACAGGGAAAACGAGGCCCAGTCGAGTTTAATCATGCTATCAATTATGTCAATAAAATTAAAGTTTGTTTACTATATTATTTTAAGATTTCAATATCAAATATAATATTATGTTTGACATTACTAATTGTAACATTTCTTTATTAGAATCGATTCTCAACTGAACCGGATACGTATAAGCAATTTTTGGAGATATTACAAACATATCAAAAAGAACAAAAACCCATTCAAGATGTTAGTAGTCACTTATATTCTTTTTTGATTTCGTAGTCAAAGGTACTTGAACTTTCTGTGCTTTATAGGTTTACTCGCAAGTTCAGATCCTCTTTAAGAATGCACCTGATTTGCTGGATGAATTCAAGCAATTCCTTCCTGATACTTCGGGAAATGTTCCACCCGGTGGATTGTTTGGACATATTCCTCCATCTCATGGTCCTCCTACTAAACCACCACATCAAGTCTTAACTCCGGTCCTCTCAAGTTTGCCTGGATTGTCGGGTTAGCAATAAAAAACATAGGATTGATTCTTGATTCGATGATACTAAATCGATCTTATTTATCCTTAGCTCCTGGTATAGGACGCTTACCACCTGTGGGTAATTTCCCTCAATCTCAATTAGGGAACGAAACCTTTAAGAAAGGTTCGATATCTTCCCTACCCTCTACTTTTGGTGGACAAAATAATGGAGCCGCATCCAGTACTAGTCCAGTCTCCGGTCCAAATAAAAAGAAGAGAACAGTCACTAATAGCGTAAACATTAACTCGCAGGCCAAAGTTTGTATTATAACTATTGATTTGTTGGTCAAGATTTCCAAGTTATCATGATTTATTTTTTACTCTCGATCTTTTAATAGACGAAGAAATCCAAGTTACTGCATAAATCCTCAGCTGATAACATGCAAGCTAGCCCAATTTTAGCCCCAGTCAAGAATGAACAATCGAAGCAAACACAAAGACAACCTGCTTCGAACGAGGAAATTCTGTTCTTTGAAAAAGTTAAAAAATTTTTGGGAAACAAAACGAATTACACTGAATTTCTTAAAGTTATTGGTCTTTACACCTATCAAATTCTGGATGCGCCACTTGTAGTTGATCGCATGAGAACTTTTATTGGCACGAGCCCTGAGCTTTTTGAATGGTTTAAGCAATTTATCAAATATGATGATCGGGATGAAATTGTTCAAAACACTGCTGTTACGCGCCCTCGCCTCGATTTGGAAAGTTGTAAAGCATTTGGTCCCAGTTATCGGAAACTTCCAGATGCTGTAAATATTGAAATATTTTATGTATTGTGGAGTTTATGTTTTTTTATGTGCTTTATTAACTGTTTTTTTCTACAGTTCCGAGTAGCAAATATGCCATCATCCGGAATGGATGCAATAGCACGTGAAGTTTTGAATGATGAGTGGGTGTCCTATCCTACATGGGCTAGTGAGGATGGTGGTTTTATATCGCACAAAAAGAATATCTACGAAGAAGCATTACATAAATGTGAAGAGGAAAGGTAATTCGCAAAGACTGTAACCAAAGACCTGCTGTTAAATGCCCAAATAATTTTTTAACTTGATCAATTCATATTATTCACTTTAGATACGAGTATGATATGTTCATCTATAATAATCTGAATACGATTGCTCTACTAGAACCTATCGCCCGAAAAATCGCAAAAATGCATGCGGAGGAAAAAGCTAGATTCAAACTTCAACCTGGACTTGGAGGTCAGTCGATGGCATACCAAAGAGTTATAAAAAAGGTTTACGATGGTGACAAACTCAATGAAGTATTGGAAGCATTACATTCGAATCCAGCCATGGCTGTTCCTGTAATTCTGAGACGACTGAAGCAAAAAGATGAAGAATGGAGAAGAGCACAGGTTTCATTCTTTCATCTCTTTATTATTTTATTAGAAGTAATTGAATGGCTTGTATAATATAAATTCAAATTTATCTAATTGTATTAGAGAGAATGGAACAAAATTTGGCGTGAAGTAGATATGAAAAATTATCATAAATCATTAGATCATCAAGGCATCACCTTCAAGAACGAAGACAAAAAGACACTTGCTACAAAAACACTTATAAGTGATATAGAGTCGATACGTCGCGAACCAAGAGAGGATGGAGAGCTAAATGAATATCAATACAAGTTCGTATTCAATGACGTTGAAGTCTTTAAAGATTGCGCGCGTGTTTTGTTTTCATATATAGAACGATCTGGACTTGTTCCTTCAAATGATCGAGATAAGATCGAAAAGTTCTTTAAATCTTTTGTCATGAATTTCTTTGAACTTCCCGCGTCATTCTTCGATGGATTGCACGAAGATACCGAAATGTTGATAGATCATGACGAGGGAGACACGAGATCTTCAAAAAATGCAGATTCATCCTCAGAATCAGCAGCGAATGCTCATTGGATTCAGATGTCGAAGCCTTCGCGTGATGATCTTAAAGAAGTGGTGTCTAAGGCTGGAATTGGCAAGCCACGAAATACATCTACGTGTTTCTTTGGCAATAGCCATTATTACTGCTTTTTCAGATATCTGCAGGTATAGTGTGATATTTTATTGAAATAAACTTTATTTCAACGAATTGTCTAATCCGGCCCAAATTTTATTCATAATAGTTACTCTTCAGCCGCCTAGAACAAATGAAAAATATACCGCCGCCAAAACCCGCACCTCATGATAAGGCACCAATTCCCGCAGCAGTTCAACTTGGCCTTCGTGAGCGTAAGTTGACTTTATTTTCTTTAATTTACTATAATCCGACTAAACTTTTTTTTGCGTATTTATAGCTGATCTTGACCCTGAGTCAGTTGGTGGAGACCCTTATTTAGTATTACTGGAGTTAATAGATAAGTTCTTCGATGCTGAATATGATAATACTGAATATGAGGATCGTGTTCGTCAAATTTACGGCACCAAGGCTTATATTATGTTTACAGTTGACAAACTTGTTTCTAGTTTAGTAAAACAAGTAAGTAGATTCATATATGAAAATTTTGATAAGAATTAAGATTACAATTTGATCACTAATTTTAATATTTATTATTATCTTATATTATCATTTCAAAGATTTCGACAATAATTAATGATCAAAAATCAAATTCACTCTTGTCCTTATTCAATCAAAATACATTAAGTCGAAGTGAACCATCAACGTTTGTTCGATCAAGGATTATGTATCAGCTAGAAGCCAACAATATCATTGGCTACGAAGATCACACTTATCGAATCGATTACGTAAGTTTTGCTGTAATTTGGGTTTTACTTGTTTTACGTTTATACAAGTATACATCTTATTTATTATAAATAATTAAATACGAATATAGCGTAAAGATGAAAGAGCAATGTCTATTACATTATCGGGAAGAGATGGATCTCTGGGTGATGCGGTATCAGCTGAAGAAAGATGGGCTTATTACGTATACAGCTATATGAATCTAGATCCAACTGATGGCGCCTCATTGAAAGCCAAACGACCATTCCTTTCAAGGTATTTTATATTTTTGGTTTCATGCTTCGGACATACATATATCATCAACAACACAAATAACCAATCATTAATTATTGTGTTTAGGAATTTGCCCATAATTAAGGATTTAGATACACAAAAGAACATGAAGAACGTCTCATACCGAAACAATCTTGAAATAAAAATTCGGGTTAATTCGTATCATGTATTCTTTGTGAATCACACGGAGGACAGTTTCGCGAGGTTTCATACACCTGTTGACTCTGAAAAATTAGAACAAGATCGAACCTTACGAAAAGAGAAATGGAATGAATGGCTTAAATCTAAAGGGATATGATTAAAATCACGATTATAAAACATTTAATTGATAATAAAAAACAATGTTTTCTCTTAGGTTTTGCAGCATATTATCAAATCATTCTTTTATTTGACAATAAGAATTCACTGTTAAGAAACATAGAACAGAAGAATAACTATTAACTACACTCTTGAAAAATTGATTATCCAATTTGAAGCAAACTTTTAATCATTTCAAGTATCAATTTATTAGGGTATATACCTAATACACGCGCCAACATTCTCATTATTATGTTGTGAGTTTAATATTATATATCACATTGATGATTGATGGTGGTGGAATTAGTGATTGATTGGTTGGTTGGTTAGTTCGCTCGTTTGTTGTTTTTAAAGGGAAAAAAATTAATAATAAAAATACAAAATCAAAAACAATTGAATGATTATGCTTAAAAAGACACACGTTATTGTTGTGTTGTTAGATAGAATTTGTGTGTTGATTGATGGTTGATTGGAGAAAAAATAAATTTTTTGTTCATTAGATTTTTGATGTTTTTTGTTATTATTGCCAAAGAAAAGAAAAGAGAGAGAAAAGAGAGGGAATAAACTCAAAATCAATTTTTTCTCGTATTTTTTTTTCTTGGTTATTTGTCTCGAAAAATTACTGAATAATTACTGAATAATTACTCAAAAACTCGTAAACAAATGCCGGAATGGATCTACACCGGACCCAGGTTTGCCCATGATATTTTCTTCTTCGCTCGGTTCTTGATATTTTTCAAAGTTACTCGTATCTCCAGAATGCTGAAATGGTGGCACGATCGGTGCTGCTGTTCGTCTGTCGTAGAGACCTTGCCAATCCACATTGCGGAACCACTTGTGATTTTTCACGTCTTCACTCGCACCTCGAAGATTACCCAATCGTTTTGTGCGATCAGAAGTCAGTAGACGTTTTATGAGGTCTTTGGCATGTGGATCAAAATGGGCGGGGAATTGTATTTTTCCGGCTAGGATTTTTTCATAAATGCCGAATGGATTGTCGTCGAAAAATGGCGGATATCTGGAATCGACTATGGATATTAGTTAAAAGAAGGTAAAGGTAAGCAACAGTATCTTTTAAATTTTATCTTACCCAGCCAGCATTTCGAATATTAAAATTCCTAATGCCCACCAATCCACGGCTTTTCCATGACCTTTGCTTTGAATGATTTCTGGTGCCAAATATTCTGGTGTGCCACAAAGTGTCCAAGTTCTTTACAATGCGCAAAAGAAAAAAAATATGCCCATAAATCTCTGGTATGATCGAGCGCTTAACCAACTATGAAGAAATAACACCACTCACCGATCTTCCACTTTTTTTGCGAATCCAAAATCGGTAATCTTCACATGGCCCTTTGAATCCAATAATAGATTTTCTGGCTTCAGATCACGGTAAATAATATCTTTAGAGTGCAAGTATTCAATTGCTAGAATAATTTCTGCGGCATAAAATCGGGTCACATCATTACTAAAACGTCCCGCTTTTCGTAGATGCGAGAAAAGTTCACCGCCAATCACATATTCCAGTAACATATAAAGATTTCGGTCATCTTGAAAAGTGCAAAACCTAATAATAATAATAATAATAATTTCTTGATATTAGAAAACTTATCTTCAGACCATCAATGTTATATATGTATACATCCACGACAAACAAAATAGCATAAAAATAAGCTTACAGATTCACGATAAAAGGGTGATGCACTTGAGCCAGAATTTGTTTTTCGGAATTAATGTGTTCGACTTGCTTGAGCCGCACCACCTCCACTTTTTTTAGTACTTTCATTGCGTAATAATTTTCTGTGTGTTTGAATTTTGTAAGAAATACACGTCCAAACGTCCCTGTGCCTGTATTATTTTAAATATAGAAATTCCTATCTTGATTAGTAAAGATTAATCTTTAAATCACCCAAAAAGAGAAGAACTCCCTTTACTAAAATTTAGGAAATCATACAATACAAGCATTATTTTATTTTACAACGGCATGTTCAGATAAAATTTGCTTCTTTATTCTAAATTTTTGTGAAATATTATTTTAATTTACTGTGACTTCTCATTTTATCATTATCTTCTACTTTCTGATACATTAATGATTGATATAGAACATTGTTTCTAGTGCGCATATATGGCTAACGTATCGATTTGGCAAGAAATATGAAGGTCGAAGCTTGTCAACTCGAAAAATCAGTTAATAAAACAAGCCTTTTACTTACCCAGAGTCTCTAAAAGAACAAAGTCAATTAAACCAAATGTGGGTTTTGAGATATAACTCGATTTTTGCTCTTGTTGGTTTTGAGACTGATGCTGCTGTTGCTGCTGTTGCTGTTGTTGCATTTGATGTGGCTGTGCTATCTCAACATTGTTATCCAGAACTTCGCTATGACTATAGTAGTTTAATACTTGGGATCCGTTCGCATACGGAGAAGGGAAAAAAGAGTTGTCTGAACTTAAAGAAGACGAACCATTCGACCCGTCATAATTGTATAGGTGTCCATTACCGTTAATTGATGGTGGTCGTTCTTTTTTTTTGTTAAACATATTTGCCATCGTGATAATTAAAAAAAATTCGAAGAATAAAACTAACGGTAACTCAAGTGCGTCATTCAAGGGAATAACTATTCCTACTGTACTGTTATTATGAACTCGTTATAAAGAGTTTATGATTTCCCCGTTGTCAAAAGAATACCCCAACCATTCAAAGACAATCATTATTTTCAAGATTTCTTGAAATAACCGGCACATTTTTCGCAAACCGACAAAATTTTCGATAACCGCTTTTGTTGATCTTGAGATGATTTTGGTTATTTTATTATTTGTTACATTGTGGATGTACAAGGCAGTCACGATGATACATTATTATATAAATAGATAATGAAAAATTATTACCAAAATTGTGTTAATAACAATAATAATAATAACAATAATGATAATAATAATAATAATAATAATAAAAAAAATAATAATAGCATAGCTCTGGACAATTTTATTTATCCGATACTTCCTGCTATATATTTTTGCCTAAATCTGGCAGGATCAGTATGGAATAATTTAAACATTTCCTTGTGTTTTTTTGTCTGTTCATCATTTATTATTTCCTATGGTAGGGATCACACAAATAAAAAGGTCAGTCATAGCAAATATAAATACACTCACATTTAAGCTAAAAAAAAATTAATACTTTGGCAATTTGACCCAACTTTGGCTTAATTCGATTAGTTTTTCGACGTAACGAAATTTGTAAATCTGACAAGGGCTTAAAAAGTTGAAATATAATAAGTTTACATGTTTTTCACAAAAACAATAAACTCAAGGAATAAAAAAGAAATTACATACTATCGGAGCCAATATTAATTCAGATGTCGGCGAATTACTGTACAGTATCGCAGTCATATTTTGTCCGATCTGCGCGCTAAAATTGTTAAGAGTCAATTTTAAAACTCGTTATTAAAAAAAAGGGGGGGGGGAATTAATTTCTAATCCAACTGACCAGTTATCAACAAATTCTTGCTGAGCTTTTAATTCTTCTTCCAAGTGTAATACAGCGGATTGTTTACGTTGTTCGATTCGCCGAATCTGCTCTTTGAGTGAATCATATGACGTGAAGAGACTATACGATGCTCTTTTTGATTCACCTAGTCGGAAAAATATTATAAAAAGTTCTTATATCAAATATTTTATATACAGCCACAATTATTAATATATTCTTACTCTTATTATCCAAAGAAACCAATTCCTTTAGAGCAAGGATCAAATCATCATCACTCGACACAACAGTCTTTATTGCTGATTCATCTGAATTTATATTAGACATCCAAGCCTATAATCGATAGAATAAAATTAGGCTTCTTTAGAAAATGAAATAATCGATTCTTTATATATCCCGTCTTATGTCAAATCACTAAAAATACTCGCCATTCGCTTCCGAGTACTCTCTAATCTTATTTGTAATTCATCTTTAATTTGAATAAATAATTGGTGAACCGTTTTCTGATTTTCAAACTCAATATTTTCTATTTGGTTCACAAATTGAAGTCGTGCGTATTGGAATGACAATAAATCAACAATCTACAAACGTGCTTAAGTCAAAGAA